CCTTTTCGTTCTTGCCGTTTACTGTGAATAAACGGTATCGTTGCTGAAACTCAGTGCATCTAAGTCAGCATCGACAACTATTTATGGCATTTATAAATGAAATTACCAAATAAGAACGTTAGTTAGTTTTCAATAAAAGCGCGCCCTTTTGACGCAGGGCGATGCAGCCGCGTATTGAGCGGAAAGACCTGACTGCTTGAATGTCCAGCTAGCAGCACAACTGACAGCTTATTTTCCTTAGAACGAAGATCACAGGGACATGTCACCAGACCTTTGCTCCTCCTGGAAATATGAAGATATCCCAGTAAAAGAACATTCCCATTCACTGACGACGATTAACTTTAAATGTTAAGCTGTACCGCACGCTGGCGCCGTTTGACAAAAGGCAGTGGCAAGAAAAAGTTCTTCTTTACGCGCCGCCGCTTTATGAGGCCAATTGTTCACGTAGTTACCATAGCAGGAATCGAAATTGTCCTAATAAGTATTTTGATAAATTTTCAGACGAGTGCGACAAACACGGAAGAACGTATTTGAAGCAAGAACATCTGACAGGGGAAGATATGATAACAAGGGTAGGACAGGTACTGTTGCCGCTAAATCCACTGGGTAGGACCGGTATTTGCGGCAAAGGATCGCTGGGTGAATATGGCCCATCTTATCTGATCATACCAATAATGCTGAGGTAAGTGGAAATGGCTAAAACAATTATCACCCCGTTTGGCTCCTTTGGGCTTTCTTCCGCATTTGTAGTTAAAAACCTTGATCACTTGCTAAAAGTTAGCATGTTATATCAAACACCTACCGCGCACACAGTGGGTTTCTATTTTTTTAAAAATTCCACTAACGTACTATTTCCCTACCATACTGTAAATAGCGTCTATTGGTGAAGGTCATTGTCAAAGCGCAATAATTTAAGAAAGTCAGAGCTTTAACGTCTTTGTAGAGGAAATCGGGGAGTGTACGAGATGTTCGTAGATTTGGACGCTTGGAATAAAGAAAAACAAGTTAGACTTCCTCAGGTAAAACAGATTTGAACTTTACTTTCACTTCGTATGCATTAGCGCTACGTATGAGTTGCAACTCACCTTCCGCTGATTTTGGACTATTTCAGTCATTCACGAACTTCCCGGATAAGAACTTCCTTGGAGAGCCGTTGACTGGAAATATAGAACGCATTCTTCGCATAGCTAGAGGATCATCATGGACACAGCTGACGCTGCGCAAGACACGAAATTTGGCTGAGGATAAAAATCATATTGTAAGCGTATACTTCAAACGACTCATAGCTCATCCGGTTGAATTAACAGCTGTTTGATGGCGTGATTCCTGACATGAGAAACACAGACAATTCATGGGTACAAGTTATCCTCACCGTATTTATGGACAAATATCAAAAGCGACTTGGCTCATATGACTTCACAAAAGAGGAAGCGATTCTCGGTTACGGATGGAGAGCAGTTGGAAATGTAACAGTTGGCAACGAGTGGTACCATTCGATTCTACCGGATCAGCTTAGAGCCTACTTGGAAGGAAAAAAGAAAAGGCCTGGAAAAGCTGACACAGTGAGCATTGTGGAAAAGTCAATGAAAACAGCTGTCAGTCAAGTGAGCGATATTGTGCTTTATGGGGCGGATAAACTTCTGCATAGAACAGTGGATGCGTTGGGCTGTCTCAGCATAGTATCGGAACTGTTCGCCGTCATTGGTTCAGTGATCGTTAACTTGTATCCCAAACCGCCTGGCAAGGCAGGTCCTCCTGGTCCACCTGGTCCAGCCGGACCTCCTGGACCGCCTGGACCACCTTTCCCGGCAACTTGGCCGTAAAAACCAACCTACCGTTACGTATCTTAAAAGTCGTTACGTTGAGTTCAACATTGATTACTATTCCATCGACAGTTGAAATAAACGTGTACAAATTCTACATCGCAATGTAACAGACGCGTCTGATCCCGCCCCTATTGGTAAACGTAATTCTGTCACCGTTGTTCAGAAGATCTAGCGCACAAAGAAAACCCATTTCTAAAGATATATATGCTGACAAATGGTAAAATTAAAATTTCTAGTAAACACTGCGGAACCGGCAGGAATGCTTGCAGCCATTGTGCCCTGAATGAATGCTACTAATACATACGAGCACCTACTGGACACATATGAGCAGAGCAGCATTGCGTATAGCCACGCCTAACTGCCATTTGGATAACGTAAGTTACTCTCGCGAAAAATCAGCATAAGCATTTAGGAACAATGAATTGAACTGATGAAGAAATAGTTGTTAACAAACTGCTTCATTAATGGAAAAAAGGCGATGCGCGATTTCGTTGGGTGCAGATCGTTAGCGAGGAAAAATGGGACCATTACTTTGCTGAGCTAAACCAGCAGGGTTAGGGTCAAATCCTGAAAGTCGAAATCCCGCATGGGTCAAAATCCCGATAGGTCGAAATCCCGAATAGGCCGAAAATGCAAAGC